ATATGGTTTCAAGTCTTCCTCATTTTCAGCAAGGTAGATTATGTCATCTGCGTAATGTACATTGTTGATGAAGTCTTTTTCCTATCCTGATGCCACATTCTTCTTCACAGAGTCCAGCTTTTCAAACAATTTGTTCAGCATACAGACTGAATAGGTATGGAGAAAGGATACAACTTTATGCATTTCATTCCTGATTTTAAACCATGTAGTGTTTCCTTGCTTTGCTTGGACAACAGCTTCTCAGTCTAAATACAGGTTTAGTTTTAGCATAGTTAAGTGTTCTGAGATCCTTATTCTTCTCAATGTTAGCCATAGTTTGTTATGATCCAGTCCAATGCCTCTGCATCGTCAATGAAATACATTCTTCTAGTATATTCAGCCAGAACCCTTCTGACATTAGCAATGATAATCCTGGTACAACGTTATCTTCTAAACCCACTCTGAACTTTTGGAAGTTCTCTGTCAATACACTCTTCTAGTCGTTTTTGGATGATCTTGAGCAATATCTTGCCTTTACTGTGAATGTGATTTTAATGACACTGTTCGATAATTTCCACATTCTGTTGGATCACCTTCGTTAGGAATAGAAACAAATGTAGATCTCTTCTAGTCAGTTGGCCAGTCACTTATCTTCCAAATTTCCTGGCATAGACTGGTGAGCATGTCCAGAGCTGCATATGCTAGTTGGAACATGTTAGCTGGTATGCTATCGATTCCTGGGGCCTTCTTTTTAGACAATGACTTCAGTGCAGCTTCCTTCATTACCACTTCCTCTTTAACATATGCTACTTCCTGAAATTTTTGCAATGTCAACCAATTCTTTTTGGTATAATGAGTGACTCTGTGTATGCCTTCCACTTTCTTTTAATGCTTCCTAGATCATTTAAGATATTGACCATAGAATCTTTCAGCATTCCAACCTGCTACCAAGTGCTGCTTCCTTAGTCTGGATCAGTGTCCCTGACAGACATTTCCTCTTGAATCCTTCTCTGATCCTCAATTCGCAAATGGTCATGTATGACATATGCTAAATGGCTATCCTATTCTATTAGCTTTGACTTCTACAATATGACTGGGTGGAACATGCTGACTTGGTATGTAACCAACTCATGACTGGATTGATCAATTTGCCTTCCCACTTACTTTAAACTGAGCAGGTTTAGTGGCAGAAAACGAGGAATTTACTACCAGCAATAAGGTAGCAGCAGAGACTGAAGTGCCATTTTGATTTGGGACAGAGATTCCTGGGTCAGTCAGACCAGAACCTAGAAGACAGCAGAGGTAGTGGATAACCAGTGACAACTACATCACCATGCTGAGCCAGGGGTCTTCAACTAAGCCTGCAGGGTGGGTAAAATGCCTTAACTGGCAGAACTAAGACAACTTTGTAACACTGACCAAAAGCCTTGAGGTTGAAGGTCAAAGTGCCAGTGAGCATGCCTGATAAGCTGGGCTTACTGAGGAATTGTATTTTGTTGCCAATCTGAATTATGACCTGTTAACTTGCCTAACAAATCACATAATAAGTAGGGTTCTGTGAGCTGAGTTCTGTGTGGTCACTGCCAAGCATTCGCAGATCTAGCAGTAAAGCAGCAAGAGCCCTGAAAGGAACAGTTGGAGTTTGACTTAGAACCAAGTTTAGGGAGTATGGGACAATGTCTGAACCCAGAGAAGTTAGTTTTATATTGTGGATATTGATGGTAGAACTGTTTTCCCTTGTGAAATTAATGGAGTTAAGAATTGGCCATCCCCATGACTCTAGCGTTGTTTTGACATCATAACGACTTGCCCTTATACTTCTGGCATTAAATATTTAGTAGCCTGAGAATGAAATCACAGAGTACGATTCCAGGATATGGTAGGCTCCAAATAAACACAGATCTAAAAGAATTCTAGGGAGTTCTGGTGGCCTAGTGGTAAGGAGCTGCACTGCAATCTCTAGAGCATATGATTTAAATCCATCAGCTGCTCCACAAGAAAAAGAAGGGCAATCTCCTCCCATTCAATCAACTGCCTCTGAAAACAAGCAGCACGGACAGCTATGGGTCGGTTCCAAATCAACAGTACAAAACAACAACAACAACAAAGAACTCTGGTGGGGTAGACAGGTGGACAGTAAAGTCAATGGCTGCATACCTCTAGTGGTTCAAATCCACCAATACACTGGGAGAAAGAGGGGTAATCTCCTCCCATTTGATTTACAACCTTGGAAATCTGAGGAAGTGTTGATGCCATAGCAAGGAATTTGAAGGTTTTTGGTTTTCTGTCTTTTACTAATAGTATAGATAATAACAGCATTTACATAAGGGTTGTATAATCTGTGCCAGGTGATGTGATAAGTAAGCACTTTACCCAAAGATTCCTGAGATCTGAACGAAGCTTAAGCACATATATTTTCTAAGTGCTTACCATATACCAAGGAGTTCTGCAAAGGAGTTGCATTGCCAACCCAAAGCCAAGTGGTACAAATCTACCACCTGTTCTGCAAGTGAAAGATGGACAATCTTCTCCCATGCAACATAGAGCCTCTAAAACCAGCCAGAGGGTCAGCTATGAGTCCATTCCAACTCAGTGACACATAACCACAATGCCATGTACCAATACAGTGCCATGAGACCAATTTAGTCCTATCAATAACCCTGTAAGATAGTCTGTTATTTCCATCTTTACATCTGAAAAAGAAACCCTGTACTCAAAGAGGTTAAATGGTAATGTTGGCATGTGGATCTGTGTGTTTGACTTCCAAATCTATGCTTTTAACAATTATTATATACAATAGCTGCCCATTTCATCCAATCCTGATTCAGCTTCTGACATGTTGGGTTTTCCTTTGATTGTCTAATATTCTTATTTTGCTGTCTAGGTTCAAAGACTCACTTCTGTCACATGAGCCTTTATCTTTGCCCTAACTTGACTGGTAGTTCCAATGGAGAAGGGGAGGCATTCTTTACATTCTAACTTGGTTTATTCTCTGGACTTCTAAGCCAAACCTGTTACCAGGCTTACAGCAATTCTGTAGTGTTACCAAGGTTGTAAACCTTTACTGAAGCAGACTGTTACAGAAAACTGTGAATAGTCAATCACTTCAACTTCCCTGCTACCAAGGATCCTTCATTCAACTGGAAGATTACACTGTTCAGATTCAAGCAAAGACCAGACCACATATTCAGGAAAAAATAAATTAAAAAAAATAAATACATGATTAGCTGGTTGAATGATAAACAGAAACAAAAGAAATGTGGCAACTGCAGTCACATCATAGCAAGCCTGTGGAAACTGAGGCAACATCTTTTAGTCAGATACATTTTCTGTGAAAAGACAATAATAAAAGCACTTACTTCACTGATAACTGTACAAGTTAATACATGTAAAGAACACTTAGGACATATATGGTCATCAGTAATGGAAAAATTCTAATTATTAGAAATGGGTCTACAGACTTCTGGCAAGTTCTGAAATTTACAGATTTCTGAATCCCACACTCTCACCTATGGACAGAACTACAGGTCTAAGAGAATGGTAAAAATAAATTAAGTTAAAGCGACGTATAATGTCAAGACTGTTGTTGCTGTGTACCATCTAGTTGGAACAGATTCATAGCTGACCTCCAGAGGGCTTTAGAGGCAGTTAATTGCAGAGGAGGAGAATGCCCATCCTTCTCCCATGGAGCAGGTGGCCCCAAATTGTGCCCCTTGCCTTCGGGATTGCAGTGCAGCTTCTTGCCACTAGGACACCGGAGCTCATTAAAGGGTAGGCCTTTTAAGTTTGGTTGCGTTTTGTCTCTTAAGATCTTCATCGTTTTGGGCTTTACCCCTAGGTCTCTGATCCACCTTGTGTACGGTGTGAGATGTGGATCCTGCTTCAGTTCTGAAAGCAGATGTCCAGTTTTGGACAGCGGGATTGCTCAACAGTTGCAAAGAAAACAGGAAAATGGAAACTAAGATAACAATACTAAGATAACAATACCATTTACAACAGCCAATCACAAACTGAGATAAAAGCATAGTACTGGTACAATGACAGAGGACCAATGGAAGAGAATCAAGAACTAAGAAACCCAACTATTTTGTCAACTGGTATTTGACAAGGAAATAAAATCTATCAAATAGGGAAATGACAACCTCTTGGTGTTAGCAAAACTAGACATCTACTTGCAGAAAGCTTAAGCCAAGGATAAAATTTTTAAAAAAAAATTAAAATCGAGTGAAGTACCTAAAATAGAGTGAAGTACCTAAGTGGAAGTCTCAAAAAAACAACAAACGAAAAATGTGATTGCATAATGAGGAACTAACAAAGCAGCAGACAACAGTATTCTTATTGCAAAGAACACAGAAGGTAATTCTATTACTAAATTTTGCAAATACAAAGTGCATTTGTGCTCTACGCGTTGTAATAGGAAAAATGTTCACAAAATCTCAAGAGTGTTGCGCTAGCTTCAAAATCAGCAAGTGCTCTCGGCAGAAAAGGTACCGATGAAATTAATAAACCGGATTGGAGGTGTGTAGACATTTGCCCTCGCTTCACAAATCCCTCCTGGCTCCAGGGCTCCGGAGCGCATCGACCAGAAGACCCACACCACACACACACACACACACACACACACACACACACACACAATGCCTTTGGATAGAACTTAAGAGCAGAGCAGAGTAAAAGTACCCACAACGCCGCACACACACACACAATGCCTTTGGATAGAACAGAAGAGCAGAGCAGAGTAAAAGTACCCACAACGCCAGCACAGTATCTGTCTCTATCATATCTCTGTCAAATTCTAAATTAGCGAGAAGGGAAAGACTTGGTAAGAGGCTAACAGGTAAGAGAGTGAGGTTAGAAGAGTTCGGGAACCAGAAACAGAGAACAGCAAAAGGAGGGCGACAGCAAGGGTAGATGGGAACCATAGAAACAATGTGATAAGAGGAGGGGGAAAAGAGCATTAAAACGAAACAACAACCGGCTTTAAGTGTTGGCCCCTAAGACCAGCAGCATCACTTGCTTACCTTGCTACGCCCCCCAGAAGCGACTCGCTGCTGCGATTTGGGGGCCGGAAAAGACTGAGAAGGGACGTTGAGCATCTTGAGCCCCAGGTCGGAGCCCCGCCAGACAGGATAGCACAGCAGCCTTTACCAGCAGAGGTTCCGGTGCTGACTCCGCGGCCGGAGAGGCCAAGCCCCCGGCCCACTTCCGGGGTCGCCCGGGGCTAGAGACGCCATGACGCAGCACGTCAAGGCAGTGTGGGCGGAGCTAACGACAAGGGCGGGGTTACCGAAAAGACGGACCGCCTGCTGAGCAGAAAGACTCATGCGCAGTTGGTATTACACCTTAAACTTCACCTTTGTTCGGATGTGACTGCAGTTTCCTGGTAAGATTTAAGGGAAGCTGTTCCTTGACCCTGGTGCTGACTAAGTCCGAGAATAACTTGCTCTCTAGTCTTCAAAATTGGGAAGGGTGTACGTCAGGGGTGTGCGGCATCAGGATTGGTGGAAGATTCATCAACAATCTGCATTATGCAGATGACACAGCCCTGCTTGCTGAAACTGAAGAGGACGTGAAGTGCTTGCTGCAGAGGGTCAAGGACTGCAGCCTTCAATATGGATTAAGGCTCAATATCAAGAAGACAAATATTCTCACCACTGGGCCAGTTGGCAGCATCAGGATGGATGGTGAAACAATTGAGATTGTTAACAGATTTAGTTTGCTTGGCTCCACAGTCAACACTCTTGGCACCAGCAACCAGGAAATTAAAAGATGTATCGCAATATGAAAGTCTGCTGTTAGTGACCTCTCCAGGGTACTGAAGAGCAATGGTGTCATTCTAGAGACTAAGGTGCACCATGGTCTTTGCCATTAGTTGTTAAGCATCAGAGATCTGGTCAATGACTAGGAATGATAGAAGGAGAATTGATGCTTTTAAGTTGTGGTGCTGGAGAAGAGTATTGAATATACCATGGACTGCTAAGAAAACTAACAGGTTCGTCCTGGAAAGGGTGAAACCTTGGAGGCAAGGATCTGAAGCTTCGTCTGACATACTTTGGACATGTTGCAAGAAAGGTCCAGTCTTTTTGTGTGAATGTACCGTCAAATCGGATCTGACTGGTTGGTACAGGAGGAGATTGTCTCTCCAACCCGGCAGAACACCTCCTGGATTCGAACCGTGCGCCTCTGGGATTGTAGTTGCAGCTCCTTGCCACTAGGCCACCAGAGCTCCCCATAAAGGTCCAGTCTTGAAGAGGGACCTCATGCTTGGGAGGGTAGAGGGACAGTGCAGGAGAGGAAGACCTTCTATAAGGTGTATTGGTTCAGTGACTGGAGTAATGGGAGTGGGTGTGTTGCAGACAGTGAGGCTGGCACAGGACAGAGCAGGGTTTAGGGCTGTTGTACATAAGGTCACTATGTATCTCAGACAACTCGATGGCACATAACAACAACAAGAAGTCTTCTAAATGCAGATGACACAACCTTGCTTGCTGAAACTGAGAAGGGCCTGAAGCATGTCAAAGTGTAGTCGTTAATTGGACTACATCAAGAAAACAAAATTTCTCACCACTGGGCCAACTGGCAGCACCATGATAGATGGAGAAGAGATTAAGTTGGCTAACAATTTCATCTTGCTAGGTTCCACGAGGAACAGTCTTGGCACCAGTGGTCAGGAAATAAAAATATTAATTGCATTAGGAAAATCTGCTTTCAGGGACCTCTCCAGAATACTGAAGAGCAACAGTGTCAGTCTAGAGATCCAGGCTGTGTGTGCAATTACTTTCTAAGCATCAGAAAGCTGGACAATGGCCAAAGATGACAGAGGAAGAAATCAATGACTTTGAGTTGTGGTGCTGGAGAAGAGTATTGAACAACCAAGGTAGCAAACAGGTCTATCATGGATTTTGAAGTATGTCACATACTTTGGGCATGAGGCCAGAAGGAACCAGTCCTTGGAGAAGGACATCATGCTTGGAAGAGTGAAGTTACAGTGTAGGACAGGAAGAGCTTGGAGGATATGGATTGACACAATAACTGTAAGCATGTAAGAGGCAGTGAGATTGGCTCTGGATAGAGCAGAGTTCAGAGCTACTGTGGTCGCTAGGAATCATAGTCACTTTGACAGCAAGTAACAACAACAATAGTCTACTTAACACAGAACTTCAGTCTCTGCTCATTGCTAGTTATTGTTGTGTGCCGTCAAGTTGCATCTGACCCATAACTGACCCTTCTGTGGATGTTTCAGAGACAGTAAATCACAGAAGAGGAGATTGTCAATCCTCATGTGAAACAACTGGTGGATTTGAACCATGTGCCTTTGGGATTGCATAGCAGTTTTGATCTAGACCACCATGACAAATACTTAAATTAAAAAAACTGGGCCCCTAAACAACTTGAAACACAGAATGATAGTATCAAAGAATTTTTGCTTAAAACAGTCTCTTTCAAAACATGAGGTACAGGAAATAGACCTCACACCATTAAGAACTAAATTGTCAAAAGTAAAGAGCAACTCTTCTGGTGTAAAAGAGAAAATGCTGCCTTTAGGTACTTGCCTCAGTGATAGAGGAATGAGTAAAAGAATTTTATAGTGTTGTCTCTTTACTAGTTTTTCTTTGTCACCTAACTTCCTGACTTCCCAAATAATTTTGGATTGAGCACAGATACTGCAGTAGGCAGCCTTATGCAAATTATTTCAGTATCTCAAAACTTCATTTTCCCTATCTAAATAGTAGGATTGGGTTTTAATGAGATTTTATCCACAATCTATTCTATCTGTGCCTCATGAATAATAGTCATTCTTCATGCTATCACAACCTATTAATGAGAATCACAAGTACTATGCAGATAAACACCACCTTCTGATGCCCAAGATCCAGATTGGTGAACTAGTGAATATTTTGTGTGATCCTGGAGGAATAAACAAATTCTGAGAGCAGAATCTAGTGAGGTGAGGAAGTGTTCAGAGCAGCCACAGATCTGTATAGCACTCTCCATTCCCCCGTTAGGGAACTCTGGTGGCATAAAAGTAAGGAGCTGTGCTGCCAACCCAAAAACGTGATACAAAACCACCAGCTGCTTTGAGGGACAAAGTTGGGGAATCTTTTACTATGCCACTTATTTCCTTTGAAAACTCACTGGAGGGCCAGCTTTGACAGTCTAGACTCAGTGGCACACAGTAGTTGTCCCATTACAAATGTTTACAATTCCAAACACATTGTTTTGGACTTACTTTATCTATTTCTACCATCAAGTAAATCAAAGTTCTGTTTGTAGTACTCTCAATTAGAAGAAAAATGTGTGTCTATATGGAATATTACAGGTAATTTTTATTAGTGATTGAAACACATGTTGTGAAAATATTTTATTGCCACTAAAAGGACTTCATGGCCACAGTAGTTTACTGTGTTATTGTTATGCTGAAAATTGCTCATTTTCTCTCTCATAAATGGTAATGATTCTTCTATGAATTTATGTAAGAAGATTTAATCAATGATAATGTTGCCTTTTACTTCCCATGAGAATATAGTTATTCTTATGAGAACACATTTCTATGAAAAATATTAAGAACAGGAAATCAGAACAAAGAAAAATAAGTAATATTGGAGAATACTTTGTCCAAACAAAGGAAATGCCTGGTAAAGTCTCTTTTTCTCAATGGAGTACTTCTCTTTAGCAATCATTTATATTTGCCTTTTATTTATTTTTTTTCCTTCCCCTTGGACAGAAATGCAAAAACAATGCCTTTGAAGGCTCCTCTTTTAGACTTCATGAAAATCAATCTAATTTACACATTTTGTTTTATTTCAGAGGCAGGGAAAGTATTCCCTAATCTTTACAAAAGTATTAAATACTCATTCCATTTTACTACTGGATTTAAGCAGAGCAGAAGATAATTTAAAGCAAAAATTGTTGTTGTTGTTGTTAAGTGCCGTCGAGTCACAGGCGACTCATAGCGACCCTATGAAGGAGAGTCCTCGATGCTTGGGTGCCTTTCATCCTCTCTCCAGGTTCGTAGGGTTTCCGGAGGCAAGCTATTATGGAAGTGGACGCCACTCCTCCTTCCATGCTTGTTTTAATCGGGGAGCTCCACCCCACTCTCTCTCCGCATTGGATAGCCAACCATTAACGCATTTGACACATCACTGTCACAGTGTTCAGCCTCACAGCAACCACAAGTGACCGCGGACGGCAACTTGTACACCAGGGCGGACGGCAACTTGTACACCAGGGCTATGCGACCTAGAGGAATGTCTTGACTAATAATTTATTAAATGTTGACTTAGTAGTCCTAAGATTGAAAATTATAAAGAATAACTGAAAGTGTTTCATCATTTGCTAGTAAAAAACACATAGTTGTGTATAACTGGTAACATAAGATGATTTTCTTCATGGTCAAATAAGATCATTTTCATCTATAAGTACAACATACAATGGTAATTAGTAGGAAAAAGCAGATGTTGAAAGATTTAATCTTGAAAATTAAATATTTTAATTTCTTGCAAAATTACAACTAAGATATTTGTAATTCGTTAAGAAGACTAAAACTATCTTTGTTATTGTTTAAAAACAATTGCTTTTGAGTCGAGCACTATTCATAGTGACCCTATGAACAAATGGCCTGAAGCCCCTCTATGACTATATTTGTAAAACCCAAATATTTACAGTAGAATCAAGATAGTTTTGTAAATGTTTTCAATTCTTTTTCTCTTTTTTAAATGTTTTCAATTCTAACACAGAATTTAAAAGTAGGAATAAAGAGGAAAAGGTCAAACTACCATGGTAATTAGAAAATATTTCATTTTATTAATAATTTATTACAAATAAGTTATTTTAAAGTATTATGATACATTTGTACACTAAATTTAAGTCCTGTTGGCTTTGCATGCTATCCAAAATAACCAATCAAATTAATTTTCTGGATCACAGGGCAGTTCTGCAATTTCATCTTCACTATCAGAATCTTCATAAAATACAATTGTGGCTTGAATTGGAAAATTTTTCAGAAGAGCTTCTGCATCTTGATATAAATAATCATAACACTTTGATTTTGGCCAAAATAGTCTGAAATAAGCAGATAAAATAATGTTTTTCACACTCAGAAGTCTTACAAAGTGATCAAACTTTAAGAGCTATATTCAACATTTGATTTCTGCATTTAGATGCAATTTCATATAGAGATTTTTTAAATTTTTTTTAAAACTTTATTATTATTTTTTTGTCAAATCAGATCTGACTGGTATAAGAGATTGCCCCTCCTTCTCCAGCACAGCATCTGGTGGATTTGAACTGCCTACCTCTGGGATTCCAGTGCAGCTTCTTGCCACTAGGACACCAGAGCTCCCTTCATGTAGAGATTTTTAGAATGCTATTATCACAGCTTTCATGGAGTTCATTTGCCAAGGTCACAATTACTCAAATAGTAAGGGAGCTCTGGTGGCCTATGGGTAAAAACCTGTGCTGCCAATCCAAAGGCGCACAGTTCAAATCCTCCAGCTTCTCTGCAAAGAAAATGGGCAATCAATTCCTCATGTAGTTTCCTGCCTCAGAAGACCCAGTGGAGGGTCAGCTATGAGTTGGGTCTGACTTGATGGCACATGCAATAGCAATAACTAGTCCAAGGTGTAAACTGGATCAAACAAACTTACACTAAATTTACTAAAATTCCTCAAGACATTATGGGTTAGAAGCTAACTCTTCACCCAGTAGAAGGTCACCAGAGCCTTCTAGGCATACCAAATAAGATAAAAGGGAATTAGACTCATTGTCTTGCTCTTCTGTTCCAACCTCTCATTTCCACTCTCTTGGTACATCATTCACCTGGTCAATACCACATGTTTGGGAGCCGTTCCCATTTACCTTTTCTTCAACCACCATATTGCACACATTATAAAGTCTAATCTATGTGGTGATCAAAATTGTGTTTACATTCACTCACTCTCATCCCTTTTTCCAGTGCCTTCTACTCATCCATCATCATTTCTTGTCTGAACAATTGGAATAGTATCCCATTTAGTCTTCCTTTTGCCATCCAATTAAGCCTATAAACCACTTCCAGAGTGATTATTTTTCAGCATTGTTGTTGTTATTATTATGTGCCATCGAGTTGCTTGGGGCTCATAGCAGCCCTATGTACAACAGCCCTAAACCCTGCTGTGTTCTGTGCCAACTGCACCATCTCTGACACACCCACCCTGATTACCTCAGTCACTGGTCAATCCACCTCATAGAGGGTCTTCCTTTCCTGCACTGTCCCTCCACCTTCCCAAGCATGACGTCCCTCTCCAAGGACTGGTGCCTCCTTGCAACATGTCTAAAGTATGTCAGACAAAGCTTCAGAATCCTTGCCTCCAAGAAGCAGCCTGGTTTCACCCTCTCCAGGACGAACCTGTTCGTTTTCTTAGCAGTCCATGGTACATTCAATACTCTTCTCCAGCACCACTGCTCAAAGGCATCAATGCTTCTTCTATATTCCCTAGTCATTGCCCAACTCTCTGATGCATAACAAGGGATTGCAAATAGCAAATTTTCAGCATTAATTTGATCCTTCCACTCTCCTGATTAAAATATTTATAATAACCTTAGTCACCTATGGAATAAAACACATACTTCCCCAACACTGCATCCAGGATAAATATAAAACGCTGTACCAAGGTATACTGACCAGCAAGATCACGCTACCAATAAGGTAGCACACAAAGCTACACAAACCCAGGTCCCAGTTCCACTTGGTTTGCTGTTCCTGAGTCTGCACCTCTTCCTATACCATTTCTTCTCATTTCCTTCACATACATGGCCCGCCCCCCAACAAGCCAGCCAGCAAATTCTTCAAGGCTCTGCCAGGTAGCCACAATCCATGATACATACCTTTCCTGACACCACAGGCACTCTGGCCACATGAGGCACATCATGGCCTCTATTAATCTGTAAAACAGACTAAATTCTATTGTATCATTTCTCTCCGTGCCCCCCCCCCACTACTAACATAAAGAAATGAGTTGGCAATAACTGGCTAATTTGAATTATTTATAAATGCATAGACACTTTGCATATCTCCATTTCCCAATTCTCTAAAGCATGCAAGCTGCAATTTTTAAACTTTAGATTTGAATTAAAGCTACAAAGAGTCTTATAGAAAGATTAACGTCTCATGGCTAGGAACAGTGTATTAGCTCCTCATGGGTTAAACACTTTTGACCCCTTTTATGATTTTTAAGATTTTTTTTTTTACCAAAAATCGTTTCCACTTTTGTCTTACATATCAAGTTTGATTTGCTCCATAACTCAGCTATGAACTCTATTCTTCCTTCTGGTTTACAACAGAACAAGAACATAAACACTCTGCAGAGTGTGATGTCAATTTCATTTGGCCCTTTTAAAATTTAAAAGGTAAACAATTTTTAGGCACTAAATACCATCACAGTACATTTACTATATAATCGTACATTTACTAATACATTTTTAATGGATAGTGAAAATACATTGATTACCAATTCTTTTAGGTGAGAATTTGAACTATCTGTTTAAAAATTTTATTTGGAAGGCACATCTTTTTAAAGAGGTAATAACAGCAGGACCTGCTGCTGAGCTGGACTATGCCACCCTTCTGAATGCTTGCTGGTGTTGAAGGGCCTGTCACTCACCTGACTGGGTGTCTGTATTGGGAAACCTTTCGTAAGGCGTCAGTCATTCCAGAACTCTCTGGCACCTGGGGACGAAAGGCGATAAATCGCAATTATCACCGACCTCCTCCTTCCAGAAACTGGAAATCTACGTGACCGCGCGTGTTTGGTGCCCACAGAAATGTGACCGTGGGGCTCTCAGCAACCTCATTCCCTGCAGGATCTGCGTGTTCCAAGTTGCTGAGGTGGTCCCATCCTCTGCATCAGCACCTGCAGGCTGCCCTTCTCCCGTAGCAGGCAAGATAACTGCTAGGGCTGGAGCGCAGATCCTCCCTCCATCCCCCGGGCTCCCGGGACTGTATTCTTCACCGGAGCGATCCCTGTGCCTCTAGGAGGTATGGCCCCTAAGTATGGCTGGCTCACCGTATCCGAGGCTTGCAGCGCTGTCTCTTCCCCTTTATAACCTCTGGGGGCAGCCCACGGTCTCCAGAAGACTGCAGACCTGCAGGGTAGGGAGCAAAAAGCGCACGGGAGAAGTGAGCTCAGGCCTCAGAGAAGCAACCCAAGCCGAGTGCCAGCACCGGGCGGGAGAGAAGTGGAGGTGTTGGAGAGGCGCGTGGAGGGAAGGCCCGCGGCAACGCAGAGCGCCTGTACCCGGAGTCTGCGCCCCCGCGCTGCGCCTGGTCGCTGGGGGCCGCAGGCAGCAGGCGGCAGCAGCGCGCTCGTTCGCTGGCTTCTGCCTCAGAGCTTGCGGCGGGGTCCATGGCGTGGAGAGGATGCTGCGGAAGCCACTACCAGTTTGCGGGCAGTCCTAGACCACCAGGCCTCTTAGTCTTTATATAGTCTTCACCGCCTGCTGCATATTTGGAGATGTACTCCCTTTCCTCCTGGCTCTCCGCCGCATAAACAAAAAGGTTGCGCGTGAAGGCTCTTCAGGGTGAGCCCAGGGTGTGAACGCGTGCAACTCCCAAATGGCCTGGAAAAGGGTTTTGTAAGCAAATGTTAACCTTAAGCTCCTCTGCTCACTGCTGTGCTGAAAAATAACAGTCACCCGAGCAGCCTATTTCTAAGTGAAGAAGCTAGGAGGGAATAAAAGTAAACGATTCTACACGTTTGTGCATTTCTGCAAAAAGGCCAAGTGGCTGGTAATTGCCTGACTCCTTACAGTCTGGCGGATTTTGGGCCTTCAGCAAATGCTCAGCATTTGTGTTCGAAAAGCTGGGTGTTCTGAGAGGTAAATGGAAAGGAATGTCTTTGACTTTGTTTCTGCAACAATGAGAGAAACTCCTTATGAAAGGAATGTAAGGGAATATATATATATATATATAAAATCAAGAATACACACACATACACACACACGATGATAATAAAAGAAAATGGTAACAAAGTAGATTCTCTTCTTTTTTTTTTTAACAAGGTAGATTCTAGAAGATTCAGTGTTCCAGGCAAAAGGCAGAGACTGGAAACATGGCATGATTTCCCCCAACATCTTTTCCGTTTTCCCCCAGAATCGGTGTTGAGATTCTCCTATAAAGCTCTGACATTGTTTGCCACCACATTGTAAAATAATAATAATTAAAAAAAAATAAATGGTGGACTTGGGATGGGGCAGTTGGGGTGGGGGTGGGGGAGGAATAGTAGTGTGAAATGGTAAGTCTTTTAAAGTTGTAAAACCAATTAGCCAATGTCTCAATGTCTTTACTTCTATTGCTGTGTACCATGGAGATGGAGCCAACCCTTCGCTGACCCTCTGGTGGGTTTTCACAGGCAGTTAATCTTACAGGAGGAGATTGCCCATCCTTGTCCATGGAGCAAGCTAGTGGATTCAAACCGCGTGCCTTCGGATTGCAGCGTCGCTTCTTGCCAGTAGGCCACCAGAGCTCCTTTTAGGTTTCTTTTCTTTTTATCTCCAGAAGACCACTTAAAATCTTGATAAAAATGTTAAAAGGAGAGATTTCTGAGCTACAGTCCCACCCCTCAATGTCTTGCTATTCATTCAGATGCTTCATAGGAAAAAACCTAGCCAAGAGCAATGGGTGAGGGAACTCTGGTGGCCTAGTGGCAAGAAGCTGCACTGCAATCCTGAAGACGCGCGGTTCGAATTCACCATCTGCTCAGCTGGAGAATGAGGGGCAATCTCTTCCTGAACCAGTTGGATCCTATTCAACGGTACACAAAAACAATGAGGAGAAGAAGGAAAAAAAACCCCCATAAAAATTAGTCCCTAAAGGAGCCCTTGGTGGCATGGGTTTAAGCTTTCAGCTGCCAACCAAAGGGGAAATTGGTTGGAAGCCCCCAGCCCTTCGTTATGGCAGAAAGGTTTCACAGTATGCTCCTTAGAGATAGCAGTCTAGGATACCCTATGGGACAGTTCTTCTTGTCCGATAAGGCCATTGAAGTGGACCTAGGTTTTTTCTTCGGTTTAGAAAATCAGTATCTATAAGCTGAAGTGATCTATCCCTGCACTCCAATAAGTTCTGATTTGTCCTAGATAATGAAATCATTGACGATAATTTTGCTTCAGGGTTCTAATTCTAAACAAAATGTTTGTTTTCATGCCAGATACATAGAAAAGTCCTTTTGAAAGTATTACGAAGGCACAAGCCTTTAACAGATGTTAAACTGTCTGATAAAATTATTTCACAGTTTGGTTTAAAACACATCTGAAGTAGCCATAATGAATTAAGCACTATGCTCTTCAGATTGTCTACAATGGATAAAATATTCTACTTAACACCAAAAAGATTACAAGTAGCTTTCCAATGGCTTTACAAGTAACTATAGAATAGCCCCCCCAACCAAAAAAAAGGATTTTAAAAGTATGGTATAAATAGAGCAAAAACATATTTAAGGGAATAGGTCTGTTTGGGAAAATCATGAAATGCTTTAAGAAATAACATTGCCAGTGTAGGGCGAAGGTATGAGAGAAGAAAGAAGAGGGCTACTCAGGGCTGGATGTGGCTAAAGCAGAGACACTAGTGGGCAGATAAAAATGGGTCAGATTATTAATAACTTAATAAGCTGTGCTAAGAGATTTTTGACTACTTTCTGTAAGCTTAGTTGGAAGATTTTAAGCAGGAATGTGGAAAGCTCAAAGTTTGTATTTTATAAAAATAACTTTGGCAAACATATGAAAGATAGATTTAAGGAAACATGATCATTTAAAAAAATTGCTACAGTACTCCAGGAAAAAGAGAAGAAAAGTTACGAACTAAGGGTTATTGTTGTTATGTGTCACAACTAATAGTGACTCTATGAATAACAGATCTGAAACCTTCCCTACCCTGAGCCATCCTCACTATCTCCAAACATTAGACTCCATTGTCACAGTCACTGTGTCATTCCATTTCACCCAGAGTGTGACCTTGTACCTTTCCAAGCATGATGCCATTCTCCAAGGACTAGTCCCTCCTGATAAAGTATGTGAGACAGTTTCACCATCCTTACCTCAAAGGAGCAATCTGGTTTCACTTTCTCCAGGACAGACTTGTTTCTTCTCTTGGAAGTCTGTGGGATGTTCATGGTTCTTCTCCAGAACCACAACTCAAAAGAATTGATTTTTTTTCTGTTTAAAAAAGTTGATAAATAAAGCCAATGATGCACAATCTGGAGAGGATAAAATTGAAGAAAGGGATCTTTAAAAAGGTTAAACCCCTGTGTGCATCAAACTTTCCCCATTAGGGTGAAAAGGAAACCTACCCACTGGGAAAAAAAACATTTGACAATACTATCTCAGAGAAGGGTCTTATAACAAAAGTTTATAGAATAGTACTGGGCCTCTGGAAGAAAAAGACTGATAATGCAATTACAAAATGGGCAAAAGACATGGAAAGACTTTTCACAGAGGAAGACATTCAAATGGCCAACAGACACATGAAGAAATATGAGAAATGCAAATCAAAACCACAATGAAATGGTGATAAAGACCATCTCATTCCAGTAGCAGTGGCAAAGTTTAACAGGTCAGCAAGCAATAAATTTTGGAGAGGATGTGGAGAGGTAGAAACAGTTGTACATTGTTGGTGGGAGTGTAAAATGGTACAACCAGTCTGGAAGGCAGTTTGACATTGCCTCGAAAAGCGAGCATAGAAACTATATGACTCAACTATTCCACTACTGGGAATATACTCAAAGAAATTAGCACTGAGTCACAAATGGAGATTTATATACCAATGTTCATAGCAGTGTCATTCACCATCACAAGAAAATCGAAACAGCCCAAATGTACAACCACCACCAAATGGATTACAAAATCTGGTACATTCACACAATGGAATACTATGCAGCACTCAGGAGCAACAATTTTGAAAAATACTACATAACTTGTGAGAAACTGGAGAGCACTATACTAAATGAACTAACTCAATTTCATAAGGAGAAAAACTGCAAAAGAGCATTATTGTAAAAATAGAAGGATAACTAGTAAAACAGGTATAGTGACCCAAAGGAGGAGAGAGTGGTAGCAGAGGGGTAAGGATGGGTAGGGCAAAATCCCCGGGTTGTACAATTTGGTGAGTGGAGAAAGGGGGTAGAGGAAATAGGAAAGATTCAGTGGGGAATTGAAAAGACAGGTTAATAATGTTCATAGTCCAATGGTGATTAATTTTATGTGACATAATGCACGTGAATGTATGAAACAATGTGAATGAAGAATAGTGTGAATCACAATGTATACGAACTCTGTAAGCAAACCAATATAAAATGAAATTTAATTTAATTTAAAAGAAAGGTTAGGTTTGAGAGACAATGAGGAAATAGAATTTGCAGAAGTACCCAAGAAACTGCTGGTGCATATAAATGTGAAGTCTAGGTCTGTTTCTGCTAAGAGAAGGGGTTAAGGCATCCGACTAGCTGAAAGCTGGGCAGCTTAGAGGCCAGTCTCAGACCCCGCCCATCTTCCAAGGTAATCGAAGACGCAAAACCCGCACAACATCCGTTCCGGCACTTGGGCCTGCGGCCCTCGGCCCAAGAAGAGCCTATATACACACCAGTTCTACAGGATGTATCACCTTTGCTGGGAAACATTATGACTAAACTTCAAAGACATTGATCCCAACATAAGGAACTAACATCAGCTGATGTGTTTGGAATCACAGAAGCCATGGAAGCTTCATATATAAGTTATTAGATGGAGGGCTGGTCAAAGGGAGATAGATGTGAAGGGAGGGGGTAGAAGTGGATGGGTATCCTGGT